ACATTAATATGTATGATTGTTTTTGCAGTTGAAGTATTATTCTTATTACTTTACAGGTTGCCTTACGGGTCAATTTTTGGAGGTATCAGTGCAATGACGGTGGAGCAGTTTGTCAAAATCAATGGTTTTTCAAATGATTATTGGGGCTGGGGCGGTGAAGATGATGATCTTTCAACACGGTAAGCAAAAGCATTCGAAATAAAACTCAAAACCGTCTCCGTACTCAATCACTATGAGGGGTGGTTGGATTCGAAAGTATTCCAAGTGTTTTCGAGGACTACCAGTGAATATTAGCCTTCATCCTACAAAGATTCTCATATTCGGATTCTGTGGAAAAATAAAAATTACCTTTTCAAGTGATGAAAATTGTCTTAGAATCGATCATTTACTGATAGACAGGAATCGTATAGGAGCTACCGAAGATATCTGATATTGATTATCACAGGGAATCAGAGCTTTTCCTCGGAGGAATACTCGGATGATTGATTGTCTTAATTCATTGTCTGATCAGTTTTATTATTTCATAGGGTCCGAACATAGGAATATTCAGAGAATGAAGGCTAATAAAATATGAATTGGTAATCCTCGAAAATCCTTGAAATCCTAGAAAACCCGTGTAGGTAATCCTCAAAAACCCTTGGAATACTTCCGAGTGCAATCGTCCCTCATAGGGAGCGAATACGGAGAGGGTTTTGGCTTTTTGGCTGTTATATCTGGGCTTTGGGTATCAGTTTTATGCTTCGATCATTGTTTTTTTTTAGCCTACGCCAGAATTTTCTTCATTGTTTATGATGTGATTTCCGTTGAAGGGAACTTCATCCGTCAATTTAGTAGTTATTTTTTTTTTCAGCGTGACTTATGCTGGATACCATATTATGCGATATCCGTCCGAGATTGCTCGTTATAAAATGATTAAGCATTTAGCTGAAAAAAAGAATCCGCTTAACAAGTACGTTTGACTTTCGTTTCCTTAAAAAGCATACAATTTCCTTCATCAGTTTATGTGTGTGTGTGTGTGTGTCTGTTCATATTTGCTGAATGTGTGTGTGTGTGCCCTTGCGTCATATTTGGTGTGCGTGTGTGTGTGTCTGTACGTCATAATGGTGTGTGTGTGCGTGTGTCTGTACGTCATATTTGGTGTGTGTGTGTGTGTCTTTACGTCATATTCGTGTGTGTGTGTGTGTGTGTGTGTAGCTGTACGTAATATTGGTGTATGTGGCTGTAGGTCATATTGGTGTGTGTGTGTGTGCATGCGTGTGTGTGTGTGCGTGTATTGAGTCTTTTTCATCAGCTTCCCTTCAGATGTCGTTATGCCCTGATGGCCAAAACTCAAAAACGTCAGCAAATCGATGGGCTTACCTCGTTGAAATACAGACGTTACGACTTACAACTACGGCCACTGTTCACACATATCAAAGTGGAATTGCTGGAGGAGGAATCAAAGGAAAATCTGAGGAAACAAGGCTTCAAAAAATGCTAACCAAAAAAAGAAGCGAGAAATTTAACATAGGTTTGTTATTTCTTTGCTAGGGCAAATTATACATCCCTTTTTTCTCAGTAAAAAAAGCACAGTTTTTTTTCTGGCATTTTTGAATTTGACCTGGAAAAATACGGTCTTATAAAGGATTTTTCAAATAATTCGACATTAAGTTGAGAAAATTCATAGCCTAATTTATCAGTTATACAGCTAAAAACTTCTCCAGTGTTGCTACAACAGCATTTTGACGTTTATTTTCTGAAGAGATTACCAACTCAGTGGTTTTTTTTTGGAACAGAACCAATTAGCAAACCTTTAGGACATCTCCTCCCAGACATTGTCATTCCTGGACTGCCACGGAATTTACTTACCCATTATTAGGGCGGTTCTGCGCGTTTTTACTTAATTTATCATTCACACTTAATTTTCTCAATTTTTTCTTTTTTTTTTTGATTTTATTCATTAGATTTTTAATATTCATTTACTTATTGTTAGTTGAAAATAGATGAAATTTGGCAAAATTTCATCCAAATCTGTTTTTTTGCTGTTTTTTGATGTATCGACAAATACGTTACACGTTGGATA